AATTGAAGCGGTACAAAAGAACTCTGAAACATAATTGCATCAGAATTGGCATCATTCAGAAATTTCTGTTTATATTGATTTTGCTGTGATCCGTCACAGCCCCATTTACAATTTAATATTAATAAATTTCTTTCTTTTTCGTTTAAATTTTGTACTACTTCTTCTAAATACACGACTAATCGTGTAAGGATATGGTTCAATAAATCTTGTAAATTGACTGCAATACAGGTTTCAGTGACATAATAAGATTCCTTATTTGGATAATAATCTACTTTTGCAGGATACTATAGCAAGGATATAATGTTTTGCCAGAACTTCTATTAATTTCATATTGTCTTCTGGAAAAACCAGCTTCTACAAACATGGCCAGTGCACTTAATACCGATAGCTGTGATTTTTTTTCCTGTGAAACGCTAGAGTAAAACACATTTTTGCCAGCTTTGGGGAGTGGATGATGTTCTTTAAAATTTTTGAAGCAGTTCTTTTTTCTGTAACACCTAATTCCACCTGAGCAGCACAAATCAAAGTTTCTGAATTTGTGGTAGCACGTATGTTTTCTGTTTTTTTTCTTTTGCTTCTCTCGCATAATTCTTTAAAGTTCTTTGTTGGCCTACTCCCTTGATGCAGTACTGCAGTTATTGCAATATTTCCATCTAGCCAATCACTGTTTTTTTATTAAAAACAAATTTTTACCCCACTTTGCTATTGATCATCTTTTTTTTAACTCGTAACTAAACTGCGATAAACTATGTTTTACTTCTTTTATTTGTTCGTCTGAGTAATTATCTTTTGCTAATACGTAATGTTCTAAAAATAATAATTTCTCAATCATATTTGATAAAATTTGGCTCTGCATTAGATGAGAAAACATTCTTCGGGTTGTTTCCCTGACATCTGACGAACCTAAGATAAACTCCCTTTAAAATTAAAACATACCTGAACATGAAGTTTAGTGTTTTTTTAAAAATAAGTTATTTTATAGTTTTCATAAAATATATAATACTAATCGTAAAACTTTATTTTAAAAAAAGTAATAATTTACTTTACAGAGAATTTTTTTAATAATTTACACAGAAAAAAATAATTTACACAGAAAAAAAAAGAAAACAAAAAAAAAATTTATACTGAAACAAAAAACCCCCTGGTCTTTTCCTATCATACACTTAAGAACAGAAAGAGTGAATAAACAAATACGAAGAACAAAATGGAAAAAAATGGTATGTGATTTTTACATATCATTGAAGTCAAAACCTTAGCCTATCTGTTAATAAAAAACAGCAACCTGAAAATGCTTGGATGTATAACTAATTACTTATAGTTTGCAGTGAAAATTGCAAAAAACAAGAGAAAGAAAAGAGTTTTTTTAAAACTAACAGATTTATATATAATCCCAAAATAAACTAACTAAAACTTTTTAAATATATTTACCTTTACCAACTTCATTAGAATTCATCACAAAACACTTTGAAATATACTTTGATTAAACCTTATTTGATGCTGATAAATGCTAATAAAATAAGCGACCAAAAGAAAACGCGTAGACAATAATTAATGATCAACTTTGTATATATCCTACAGCTTGTTGTTAAAACCATTCGCGGTTACTTAACGTTTATAATATTCACTAACCATTCAGAATTGTTAAAATAACTTTTTTCATTTATTTTGGAAGTTCTGAAAAATTGAGTTTTGGCCGCCTAAATCAATCAAATACCCCACTGTGGGTCGTTTAAATGGCCACCAAAGGAAAGCCAATGCTGGATTCCTGATGTCCACAATATTTGCTAAGTTGAGGTACCGATAACAAAAACAGGACTTTGCTACTATTTAGCCAAAGAGGACTTAAAAAAAATTATTTTTCCTAAGGAGGTAGAGATTTTTATAATTATGAGTCTATTATGTCTTATCTATTCTTTTTTTAAATATTATGTTTTGTGAACCAACTTGTAAATAATGTGAATGTAAAGCATTTATAAAATCACTAAAGTTTAGTATTTAAAAAAAAAAAATTATATACGTTTAAATTTTGTTGTAAATATCATATGAAAATGAAAAAGATAATAAAGTCACTAAATTTTTAGTTTCTAATTTGATTGATTGGTAAAAGGTGGGGTTATATTAAGTGTCTAATTTAAAAAATATTAAAAAAATTTGTGTCTATATCAAACATCAATAACTCCTCAAGTAAATACAAGGCCAAAACAAAATTGGTTCGAAAAGTAGGTGTTGATCTTATTTTTAAGAAAATCGAAATTAAATTTTTTTTATATCAGTCAGATTTTTTTTATAGCTATAATTGTCAATGCCCTTTTTTCTCGGTATTATAAAGTGTATTTTATGGATCTTAAAATAAGCTACATTCCCTTGTTTAACGTATAAAAAATTATATTTTTCGGATTTAACAGGTTTTAAACTCTTTTGGTACAAAGTTTCAGAATTGTAGCATCACTACAAGCACCATATTAAGGTGAAAGTAAACGGAATGATTTTCGGCACTTTTGCCCCCTCAGTTTTTAGTCAAAATCAAGGAAACTTTAAATTGCTGTAAATTATAAACGGTAAAGAATTTTATGAAAAAAATTACAATCTTTCCTAACATATGTCTATAAACATTTGTGCCAAGTTTCAAAAATTTTGGTGATATAGGGTTGAGATTTGTGTTTTTTGAGAAATTTTTACCCGAAAATACAATTGAATTTAACTAATAGATTTATTATGGATAGATCAAATTTAGTTGAACTGCTAGTAAGCATACAAGACTATGTAAATATGATGACGGATAAACTAGTAAAGCTAACCGCGCATTCATATAATTCTAAGTTCTAATCTAAATGTTTAAAACTATTAAAGAAGAATTGCTATCAAATAGCGCAATAATTCTCGGAGATTTTGCAGAAAACTATAGTTTGCTGTGCATGATGAAGTACAAAGTTTCCTTTGGAATAATTTTTAATCTATACTCTTCATCCTGTAGTTATGTATTATTAAGAAGATCAAGTATTAAATTCCATTTCATATTGCATTGTATCAAATTATAACAACCACAATGTAGCCAGGGTTGCTGAGGTGGAGGGGCAAAGGGGCCATACATGCTCTGGGCGCCAAGATAATAGACGTGCCAAAAGACAAAGGGCAACGAAGTAATAAAACTTTTATATTTTTTTGGTTTTTTCATTGTCTATACAGAAAATAAAGTTTTAACATTTGGCCCAACTAGTATATAAATGTTATATATAGTTATAATCCAGTATTTTCTAGTGTCTATACCAGTAAAACTACAAAAATATTTTTAAGTCAGAATAAATCAGATTTTGAAATAGTTACGAAATGGGTATTTTTTGTCACCACCTACGGAAAGCAACCTTGTGATGATATAGGAGGAATAGTTAAACGGCTTGTAGCTAGTGTTTTTACAGAAATAAAATATTAAACTCACGTTATGTGTTTATATACTGCACTAACAACCTCGACACTTGTCGATGTGTTTAATAACACAATCAAGTTTCTCTTCCATAATTAAAGAATTATTAACAGACTCAGGGGTAATTACAGGTTTCCTCAATCAATTCCTCAGCATATTAGAATCACCCTAACGCTCTTCAGTGATGGATATCACCCCCCTACCCCCTTCCCCCCTACCCCAACACACACACACACATACACACATACTAGAGTCTTTGAATCTCAGAAGTTTTAAAATATATTTTAAAACTTTCAAATTCTTTTCAGGCTTTTTTTTTTTTTTTAGGAGACACAAATGTGATGCAAAATATAAAAATATTTTAAAATCTCACCACCAAAAATTTCTGGATCCGTCGCTGACAATTTTACTATAGGAGAGTTTGATGGAATTAATTTTTCCAGAAATTCTCAGAAAAGTTTTTCACATTTAAATGAAGAAGGCGCTATATTTATTTCATCGTCGACTAAACGGAGCTTCGACTGTTACGCAGGTATTGCAGAAGTCTACTCATATCAGTTCGGCGTTCATGCATACGAACCACCAACGCTGCACACATTTCTTCACTTGTTTTATTGTCAGCATCTTTTAATTTTTTAAGCATAAAATTAATAGCTATGGCTGTAAATAGGTTAGAATTTCGGCGACAATGTGCTTCAACCATTGCTTTAATGATCTCTGATAATATTATCACTTTATTATGTGAAGTGACAATATTAAGGCTGAATGCAAAAGGCTGCTCGACCATGTCTTGCAGTTCATTATTAAAGACAGCTGTTTTCCAAAGTCACCCTTAATATATTTTTGTAAAATGTTGTTCTTGGTTGGTGATCGTGTTAATATTAGTATCAATTTGCATTTTTTTTTTTTTTTTACATTTCTTTCAATTTTTTATAACTGGCTTATAATGAAAGTCATTTAGCTCAATTTTAGGTCTTACTTTTTTATGATTGTAAGCCAGTAAATCTTCCTCAATTTTCTTATTCTTGGATAAATTACTGTCAGAAAATTCATTTTCAAATTCTGAGTGATTTCTGATCTTTCTTTTTATTAAGAACATTGTTTATAGCAAAGTTGTATGTCGTAGGCAAATATAATTGTTGATTAGCAGCCAGCAACTTTTCCACTTTTATAATACTATATATTTTATACACTTTTATGATACTAGCTCCGTCGGTCATTACAGCCACAACGTCGCTGTATGATCAAGACCATAATTTTTAATTTTTTTTTCTAATAAATCAATTCACTTTTTAGCTGGCATTTAATCTGTTATTCACAAAACCTAAACTCTAGAAGTGAGAATTTTTTCCATGAACGTGAATATTAATATAGTGACAATTTCGAAGTGACATCCATTTGTCAAAAGATAAAGAAAATCTTACTCCTACCCCTCAGTTTTCTTGTGCGCCTAAATCTGATAAACTTAATCCTTTTTTTTTTTTTTTTTACTCCACTACATGGTTACGAATTATGTTTACTGACGTTAGTAGATTTCAGAATACTATAGCAATAAGAAGGGCACATAAATTTTTTTTAGAACAAATCACATTAAACGAAAGCATGTCAGACGCCGTTAGGCAAGCAGCTTCGGTAATATTAGATTGGGTTGAACTTTTCACCTTCACATTATACATTGAAAACATGTGTGTGAAGTCCTTTTGTTGAACTACCTCTGATTTTTAAAATCTTCTTGCAGTTTGGCACAACACTGTCTGGCTTTTTTCATCCCGCAGAAAATATTTCCAAGCAGCTGAGTTACTTTTAATTGTAAAATTTACAAACGTCATACTTATTTAATTTATAATTTTAAGAGTCTAACATTATTTTTTTCAGTTTGAATGTTTATTTTTTAGAATTACAGAACAGAATAGAATAACTAACCAACATAATATACTGCGAAGATTTTCACTTTTTTTTTTTTAATCAAACTTTTCAATAACTTTTATAATATTTTTTAAATTATTTTATTGAGACGCGTAAGCTGTTGTTATTTTTATATATTTTTTCATTACGCTTTGTTTTGTCATCAATCCCGGGATTCCCTATAAGAATAGGGAATCCCGGGATTGATGTGAGACTATCCCGGAATTTCGATATTATAAAAACGCCGGTAGCCTGGAATCCTGGGATTAAAGTCGCCTGATGCAAGGTGATGTGCAAAGTTAAGGCGTAGTTTAAATTTATGCACCAACATGATCCAAATCACTTGCTTCATTAACATATCTTGAAAAACATTTTCTAGCTTACTCATAACAGTTAATAATTAGAATTTGCAGTTTATATATGTCTATGATATGTATATGACAGTATTCAGCATTTGTTAAAAAAACTTTATTTTGTTTTGTTTTATAGTTTAAAGATAAAAGAATATTTGAAGTTGATTAATTTATATAAAGATTTGTTTACTCATAAAAATATGGAACTCAAAAAGAAAGAAATGTGCTATAGTATTTTATAAGTTTATTAATGAACATGAGTTCTATGGATATTGTAGTTTGAAAGTTAAAATGTTTTTAACTAATTTAAATATTTTTAATTAAGTTTATTAAGTATTTACATTGTATTTTGCACATAAGTAAGAATATCTCTTATTTTCTGGTTGTGCCTGAATATAAATACCTCTCAATCAAAAAAAGAAAATTGAACTTTTTAAATAAGTTAAAAAGCAGTTCAATATTCAGAAATTATATTTTAAGAATATGAAGTTCGGAAATAAGTTATTCATTAGTTTTTTTGTTATTTTTTTTAAAGATAAACATGTTTACTTTTAAATTATAACATTAAAACATTACAGCCACGTGACATGTACTCAGTCGCGTTATTAACGATCTAAATATTATTGACAAACCTTTTATCTTATCAAATTTTGAAAAACATTATGGTGTGACATGGGTTTACCTTTTGTGTTCACACCATTATATAGTTTAAGATAATTGGTACTACGTTTCAAAAAGTTTATATACATGTTATTGTAGCTATAATGTAATCATTTTGTTTGAATATATGAAAGTTGTTAATAGTAGCTGTTTGGACATATATATTTTGTGAGTGCTAGAATCCAAGTTTAGTGTGACATTATATCAATTTTAATGACTGTTGAATGTTTTTGTTTTATTAGCTTATACTAATTACGCATGCCACAACAGCATGTTTTATAAACAAATATTATTGTTTGCAAGTTGTACTGAACTCCGCCATGTGCCCTCTGGTCTCAGTGTCAATTTGGAGGTTTGTGGCAATCATTCTAATGGGGTACCCAAAGAAAAATTATTTAAATAACACAATTGGACACTAATATAAATAGCGGCTCTTTGTCTTCCACTGGACATCTGTCTTTTTGTACTTTTATCTCACTCTGCTATTCTCTTTTTTACTTATTATGCATATCTAAGACGTTCACTGCTTGGTGCAGCTTTACTAAAATGCATCGCATTTACAAAAAGTATTAAACGCCATTACATTTATTGATTTACTAATAAATATACAAATTTATCATTTCTGAATATAACTTTAAGGTTTAACACCTAAAAGTATGTTAAAAATCAGGAAATAATATAGTTAAGGTAACAACATAAGATTGTACGCTCACGTATAAGAAAACAAAAAAATATTTTAGTTTTTTTCGGGATATTATCAAAAATAGTAAAAAGGTAAAATCTTCTTTGGTAATTGCTAAATATTTCTAAAAAGTTTTTGAAAATTCATGCCAATATGAAAGTATAAGAGTCATAGAATTTTGTGAACATTTTTTGGCACTGTATATGATATATTTATCAAAGACATCTTTAGATGAAAAAATGGAGAATTTTTTTTAAATTTACTAGTATATTTTTATATTAGTATATATTTTTTAAATTTTATAATTAATTTTAAAAATTAATAACTAGTATAATTAATTCTCTAAAATCTTATTCGAATAAATTGCTAACTAATATTTTACTTTTAGTTTGTATTTACATTGAAATCATTTGTTTATTAAATACCATTATACTATTATGCTTTTTAATATTTGTATAAATTTGCTTCTTTAAATTAAAACAAGACAAATATATAAATAAGTTTTGTTTATAATTCTACTCTTTAACGTTAAAACGAAGTAAAAATTTAAAATAACTGTCGTTTGTCGTTGGTAATGGAAAGGTTGAATAGCACGACTTTTACGTTAGTTACTTCTATGAAGCAAATGTAATAACATCATTGTTTGCTTATATTTGTAAACTATCGTCTTGTTCAGGTACAGCATAGGTGGCTTCAATTATACTTGTGTTTTTTAATCTATCGTCATGTTCTGGTTCAGAATAAATAGATTCTTCACGTCTTTGTTCATTATCAGTTTTTCTGTTGGAATCAAACTCGTTTATTGGAATATTACCAATCTTGTCGCAAGAGTTAGTTTTCTTAAACATACTCAAAGATGCAAGATTTTCGTATTGAGAAGCGGTTTTTAAAACAGGTTCAGATGACTCTGGAAAATCATAAAAATGATCTCCACTTTTGTCATCTTCTATAATGTTAGGATAGGGCTTCATGTACCCTGATTGGGTATTACAAAGAACTACTGGTGTAGTGTTTTTGTGAATAGTATTTATTTCATCAGGGACGCTGTATAAAACATCTTCAATTTCTGATGAACTTTGAGAAGTATGCTTTTCAAATTTAGAGCGAACTTTATTAGTTGCATTGTTATATGATACAGTTTTTGTATTCACTTGATCGATATGATTATAATTATTAGTGATAACTATTTCTTCAGGAATGTTGTAACTTAAGTCGTCAAAATGATTCACGCTAAACCCATCATAGTTTTGATTTGAGATGGGGTCAATGAACATTCTGTAGTCAAAATTATTATCTAACGAATTGTCTACTGATTTCTTTTTGTGAAGACGAGAGAATGTTTGTTCTAAAGCAAACAAATAACAGTTTAAATAGTAACAAGTAACTTTGCAACTATTAGTTTTCTAAGTAACTAATTAACAGCTGGAATTTTTAATCGCAATGGTTTCTTAGCCGTTTCATAATATATATATATATATATATATATATATATATATATATATATATATATATATATATATATATATATATATATATATATATATATATATATATATATATATATATATATATATACACACACACACACATAACACTCAAAATAACCTCACCAAGTGATGCAAAAACTTTTTCAAAACATGATAATTTTATTGAACTATCTAAATTTTCTGATATATTGGGTATACCATAGGCTTCCGAACAACAAGCTTCTTTTGATATAACCGAGCCGCCATTTCGGTAAATGCTACCTTCATTTAAAAAAAAAACTGGATGTGGATGAGTTATTTGTTCAAAAGATAATTGCTGATTTGAATCTATAATAACTGAATTGCGTTTTGCACGACGCCACCTTTTATAAAGAAATATTATAATTATGCATGAACCAATCACGACAAAAATCAATACCACGGCAGCGGATATTAATGCGTTATTTGTATTTGCATTACGCACCTAAAATAAAAAAATTACGATACCACTTTTTATTACGATAAAATTTATTAAACAAACAATAATTATTTCAGGTAATGATTAAGTTACTATTGCTACAAAAAACATACCTTTACGTGCGAAAGTGACGGCGAATCCGTTGACTTGATTAATTCTTTGAATACATAAGTATTATTTGCTATTAACACGCTTGTAGTAGTTTTTATTGTTTTTACAGTTGTATTCATTAAATTATCAAAAGAACCGTTTTTTGACAAATGAGAATTATTGGTAAAAGGAACAGTGCTTGTCAAAAAAATTTTTGAACTGGTGATTGAAGCTATTGTTGAGCTGGTGATTGGAGGTATTGGAGTAACGAATTTACTACAAGTAGTTCGATCTTTTGGAGATACGCCAACTAAGTAAAGTTGTCATAAATAAATTAAAAAATTTTGTTCTATTTTAATTTTTTTACTTCAACTGAAATTGTTTGATATCAAAGTATTTCTAAGAAAATATTTTATATAGTAAAACTGACTTTTAAAACATTTTATCATTTTTACAGTGCGCATTTAATTTAATTAGATGTGTTATTCGTAAAAAATATTGCTTTTCTTACTTTTGTAAGAACCAACAACAGAAAAAACTGCAGATCCACTTTGTACCTGGTTGTTAACTTGACACTGCAAAGATAACTTTAGTAGCATACCAGAATACTTATTCATTGCACATTGTACAGTTTTAAACTAAAAAAAAAAATGTTTAAAATACAATTTTTCCATAATTATTTAAAGATTTTGAATTATTTGAATATTTTGCTCTCACAAATATAAGAACACCATTTTGAACATTTTAATGCGATAAAGATGAGACAAAAGAATATCGCATTATTAAAACATTAATGGTATCAAAACATAATGCTACGTAAAATAAAATCCCTATTAATGTTAAAATGTAAATACATTCATTTTTCGTAATTAAAAATTTACTTGAATGGCAATCCCAAAACTGTTTTTGACAATAAAAAAGTCTACATCAATTTTTTTTTGCCAGATTCTTTGCCAACCAGAACTATCGTAAAAAGAGTTCTCAAAGTCAATTGTGCAATATGAGATATTTCGCGAACATGACGTTTCAGAACACAAATAGATGTATATTTCATCTTGCATTAAACTATTTACAGTAAACTTTGTAAATAACTGATAAGGCGACACCTGATCAACTTTGGCTAATGTGAAAGAGGAATCTAGAAAAGTACTAAAATGCGAAAAACTGAAAAAACACAAATCAGTGAATAAAAAATTAAACAAAAAATCAATTAAAAACAAAGAAAACAATGTTTAACAACGAACATAATAAAATGAGAAAGTGCGGAACTTCATAAAGGGTAAATACGGAAATAATGTGAGAAAAATTTCTCCTATCACTGCTCCAAACCGAAATTTCAGTTGAAGTAACAGAACCTTGAAAATTCCCGCATATATACAATTATAATAATCATATAATAGTTAAGTATAATAATTATGTATAGTTTATACAGTATTGGTGTACATACATTGGTTTGTATATTTAGGAGATAATGGGTATTCCTGTGAAATAAATCAGAAAACTTGAAGACAAAGGGATGTTCTTGACAAAAGAATAAACTGGTTTTTTTAAGTTATTTCAATTTCAATATCCTACACTATTTTGTATATTTTATTACCAGATCTCATGTGAGACGCGTAAAAATGCAACTAGCAACAAGTGACGCCTTTAAAGTAAAACTTACGGAAGAATATCGCTAGGGGTAAATGTACTTAATTTTTTTTCTACAGACATAAAAAAATATATATATTTTTATTACTTTTTTTGGTTGGAAACAAAAAAGCCTCAAAATTGCCCCCTCTGCCCCAAACGTGAGAGCAACAAGTTAATGAAATAATTTTTATACAATTTTCAACTAGACTTATATTCACCCAAAAATTTTAAATTTCATAGTAAAATAATTTAGCGTTCGAAAATTATGTTATATAAAGTTTTAACCCCCCTCAATTTGAGGGGGTTGCAAATTTTATATGATCATAATTTTTGAACGCTAAATTATTTTACTATAAAATTTAAAATTTATCGGTGAATATAAGTCTAGTTAAAAATAAAATAAAAAATATTTCATCAACTTGTTGCTCTCACGTTTGGGGAAGGCGGACGAAAATTTTCGGGTTTTTTTGTTCCCAATCTCCAATCATCGCAATTTTTTGCGATGATTGGAGGTTTAAAAGTTTGAAGTTTGCTCCATGTCCTGAAATTAGCTATCTCTAAGTTAAAAAAATGCTGGATCCGCCCCTGAGCTGACCTCCACCCCCGATGGGGTTGTGTTTGGTATCTACACATCCCAATTGAGAAAAATGAACCTACATTTTTTTTTTTGCTCATTGTTTAATAAACTTTAATTGTTTAGTTTAAAAGATTTTATCTTAAAGACCAAAAAATGTTGAATCCGCTCTGAGTCAGCTAATTAAAGGAGCCCATTTGCAAAGAGCATTTTATTTTTTTTTATTTTAGTAATACATAGTGGGAAATTTTCTTAAGAATAGTTTTTCTAGAAGTCGTCTTAAATAATTAAATAAATATTTTTCAAGATACATGAATCTGACCTGAAATTTTCTCTACTGATACACATTTGTTATCTGAACTTGATACTGTTGTAGAATCTTTACAACGACATTGACAAGGATCTATTATTGACAGCCCAAAAGCGTCGGCATCATTGCAAGTGTTATAAGACATGCATTTTCCTTTAAAGACTAGGGTGTCTGCAACTAATATTTCTTGGAATCTCTCGACTTGAAGGATTGTTTGCGACGCAACAAAAGATATTATAACAAAATCAAGTAAGAAAACAAATTGATAACTTCTTGAAAACAACAACAAAAAATTTAGGAAGAAAATTACAATATTATTCACAACAGCTTGTTTCATTTTTCTAGTAATAAAAAAAAAATCAGTCAAAACGTAAACTTCTGTAATTTGTCATTTCCTATAATTTACAATATCCTGAACACAATAACAATGCTGTTTCAGCAATTACAAAAAAAAAAAAAGCAAACCACAATTAAATAACGACGATAAATATAATTGGCTTAAACGTGTTCAACTCATTTACGCAAATTAAAGTTTTTTTAATTTACTTTTTAACAAATATCAAGAGTTGTTGTCAGTTTTTGTATTATTTTAATCCAAATTTTGTTATTTGATGTATGACTAGTTAAATGATGCCTGAAGTCATTTAACTTTAATTAAAACTTTTTTTTTTCTTTAAATATGTTTTAAAAGACTTAAATAAAGTTTATACTTTGTTGTTTTTATCTGTGTTACTTATACATATGTTATTTATTATGAACTATTTTTTATGTTAACTACTTCTTTGATAGTTATAATACCAAAAAAAAAAAAAGCGACGTACTCGAGCTGGCGTTTGAATTATATTATTTATTTATCAACACTAGATTCTTTAGGCAAATTTTGTACCATTTAAGAATATATTAAACCTCTTACTTAAAACACGTGAACGATTTGTTTTTAAATACTGTTTTTAATTATTATTTTCTTATACTTGTATTTTTTTATATTTTTTTCCTATACTTGTATCTTATATTATCTTGAGATGACAATACCGTAAGTGATATATCGCATAAGACTCTACGTATTGATACAGTAACACGATTTATCATTACATTCGGGACGGATTTTTTATAAATGGGAAAGTAAGTGCGTTCAGTGCTTTTTAAAACTCTCTTTTTTACAGACACGCAGGATGCGAAGCCAATTTTTTTTATGTTTAACAAAAATAAATTTCCGAAATGGAATAAACTTTAGTTTTGGGTATGCTTATATTTATATCAAATAAGAATACTTTACAAAAAAATGCGATAAGTGTTATAAAGTGCGATAAAGTGCGATAAAGTTTGATATAACAAAAACCCTTAAACTTGTGCCTCTCCTAAGCTCAATTATGAGGATAATAATTTACTAAGTTTTATATTATTGCTATTTTAAACTAAGTTTATATTCATCGATAGATTTCAATCTCCAACATCTAATATTTTAGTGTTCAAATGTTATGACCATGTAAAGCTTCCAAACCCATCGAAATGAGTGGTTTATAAACTCTACATGTTTATAGCTTTCACATACTCAAATATTATCTGATGAAATTAAAAATCTATCTGTGGACATATATTTATTTTAAAATAAAAATTTATTACTATATTTATATATATACTATATTATATAATAAAAATTTTAATAATGATTTTTCCTCCTATTTGGGCAAAAGTTTTACGGATTTTGTTGTTCCCAGGCTCCAATCAGAGTAATTTTTTTGTTAATCATTAACATACTCTAGTTCGAAGTTTGTTCCATGTGCGACAATTTTCGTTTTTAAGCATAAAAAGTTCCTATTTAGGTCTATTTTTTCCATCATTTACGTTGTTGATTTTAAGTTATCATGTTACAGTATAGACTATTAGGAAAAATATAAAAATTAAACTTTCAAAAACATCCTCATGGCTATTTTGAAAAATATAGGGGAAAGGCGCCTTTGATGGCATACTTAACTTTGAAGCTTCATAATTCAGTATCCTGAAAACAAAGAACAAAAGTTTTGATATGGATACATTCCTTGTTACATGTAGAACTTTTTAAATACTAAAATAAGAAACAGCATTTTTATGGATTATAAATCTATTCATTGGCTATACTTAGACTATTTAGAAATTTTTCAGTTTAGTTTAGTTAAAATAGCTAGGTATGATTAAAGAAAGAGATGAAACTTGTTTTATTGAAAAATATATTTAAATATTACATATATTTACATATAATTGAATAGAAGCTACACAAATTTCTTCTCTTTTCCACCACCTTTTTGAAATGGAGCGTAATTTAGTAAGTTAAACAATGTTCCATTAACCGAGGTTTCTTTTGCTCCCTTGAATACAATAGAAGAAGCTGTAAATAAAAAATATATATAAAAAAAAATCAAAAAGGGAAGATTTGAAAAAAATATAATTAATGAAAAGATGTTACAACTTATAAAGGTATATCTTTTTTCAACGCCATATAGATTAGTGTTGTTAAAACATATTTTTCCACCTTTGCCCTTCATATCCATGAGGCCATATAGTTTTTCAAAAAAACTCTTAATTTTTAAAAGATAATATAACTGTTAGGTTATATTATCTTTTTTATGGTTATTAATAGCTTTTTCAAATATTTAATTTAAATAAAACAACTTTTATTCAAAATAAATTAATAATCAAAATATAAAACTTTTCTAGCATTGAAAAGTAATTTTCGGGATGGCCATATAAAATTTCCATAAAAAAGTTTTATGTGGCCATTTATTATTGGTGTAAGGTCCTTGTTTATACACTTATGGGGCTTGGACAGGGGTCAAGTAGTGTCATTTTTTACAATAAATAGCATGCATTTGCTAAATCAATTTTTTACAATTCCATGCACTTTAAGGCGTTAACTAGTTTTGCAGATTGAGAATGGGTATTTTGAACATTATACCATCAAGAATTTAAAAAAGAGAAGTTAAATAGAAGCTTTGATCAAATTTTTATCTTTTTAGAGGGTTTTAGAGGTGGTTTTTAAGTAGACTTTAGAGGTTTTTAGGTGGAATTTAGAGTTTTTAGGTGGACTTTAGAGGATTTTAGAGGAGCTGTGGTCACCCTGATTATAAATGAGGTAAGAGTCCATTACTGTTTTTGATCATCTCAGCATAATTTTGTGTATTCTATCTTTTAGATAGAATACACAAAATTAAGACGTTCAACGAATTAATTGTAATTGATTTATCTGTAAAAAACATAAAGTAAATCTAATATTATGTTTGTGGAGATACATTAAATATGGAGAACCATCCAAACCACACACTTTGGAGAAAAATCCAAACCACATACTGTGGAGAACAATCCAAACCACACATGTGGAAACCTGGACGCAAAATTTGCATCCAGGTTTTCAATCTTTGATAACTGAACCTGTAAAATATAATTACTTATTTGTAGTATAAATTCTGAAAAAAAAAAATTTTTAGGCATAAAGATTGAAGTTTATATAAATCAACATTCTCATTATCACATTTTTCTTTTGTAGTTGTGAATTCAAATACTGTTGGCTTTTTGTGGAATTGAAATAGTTATACGAATAGTTATATTTTTTATCAACAAAATAACTCTTCTTACCACATTGTTTAAAAAATAATAATTGTAATATATAGGTGTAATACTTGAAGAGAATTTAGTTTTTATTTGTAGAAACTTAAACCAATTCTTCTTTGCTTTTTAGTGCAGTCAATGCTTTGGTACCTGGAAGCCAACAAACAGTTTTATCACTAATCCAATAGATGGAATTACCTTTTCTTGTAAATCTTTATTCAAAACAGCTCTATTTCACATATTTGATTTCGAAAAAATTACATGAACTAATAATAAAATGAAGAAACCATAATATAAGTGTACTGACTGGCCTAATTAAACTAACTAAATTTGAACATTTTATAACCATGGTACTTGCTAAACATTAATATTAGTGGACATTTTTAGCAAAGATAAGATTTTTTTATTTTATAAATTTATTGTATTTATTTATTGTATTATTATATTATTTTAAATTCATTTTTATTAATATATTTATTACTCTATTATTCAGCAGAGTTCTGAATATATTATGTTCAAATAACTCAAGGCTCAATAACAAAGGAAAATATTGAAAGAATCCCAGGTTGTTAAAACATAAACATCTACATAAGAATAATATGGAATATTGAACAAAAATAGAAAAGCAAAAATACAAAAATATTCATTATTAATATAAAATATAATAATATAATATAAGGTATATTAAGACACAATAATATCTATGTTTGATTGAAACATAAAAGCAACAAAAATTAAAAAAGAAAATATTTTAATAAATAATAAATTATCATTCAAACAATTTTAAAGACCAAAAAATAACTTTTAACTTATTTTTTACTCACTTATTTTACTTAAAACGTCAACTCAATTCTAGGCTTTTTCCATAGTTTTAATTTGTAATGTTGAACTAACACTGAAAACAAAATATTAGTAGACAAAAAGAAAATATATCTTTATTAAAATATATGCAAATATTTTTCAAAAGCCATCAATTAAAGTTTCAGTTGCTCCGTCGTATTTAATAGAAGAAGCTGTAAATAAAAAAGAATTTAAAAAAAAAAACACAAGAAATATTTGAATATATAAAAAATGAATTAATCCTTAAAATTCCTGATTAATTAAAAAATATTTTGATTACCTCAGCATTATTTTGTGAATTCTGTTTTTTAAAGATATTCCATCAATTGCAATTGATTCACATAAAAAAAAAAAAAAAAAAAAAAAAAACATGTAAAGCTAATATTATTGTTTAAAATTTTAATTATCTTTATACAAATACTCATCATACTTTTTAAGTGATTGATAAAAATGAGATTTAATAAAAATCACTTTCAAAGACCAACTCATCATTGTTAGAGATATAAATACAAAGAAAAACTAACAAGGAAATGGATTTTTTAAAGCAGGAAAATTGGCCAAGTTTAGGACCAGGAAATCATACGGGCTCTAAAGTCTTACATGATTGGTGTGGTAAAATTTCGAAAGTTTTGTTATTTCTTAATACCAAAATACAGACAAATGAATTAGAGTATTTTAGACATCTTGAGATAGAGTTAGAAAAAAATAAAACACTTGAGAAAAAAATATTAAAAATGGAAAATGACTGTCTGCTGAAAGGGTTAGAAACACGTATTGTGGTACTAGAGGATGAAAAAGACTCTCGAGAATCATTGCCAAAACAGTCGTACCCAGATGCTATAACAAGTAAAAATTGGTCTACCTCTTCTTCTAAAACGAAATCCCCAGTTGAACAATCAATTGTTGTAAATGCAGCTATTAATGAGCAAAAAAGTAGAGAAAAAAGAAAAAAAATATTATTGTCTATGGCCTTCCTGCATCTAAAAAAGCTACATT